GACAGAGAGGAGGAGAAGAGAACAGCGAGAGGGAGGAGAGACACGAGAGAGGATGAGAGAGAACAGGCAGAGGGAGGGCAGAGAGACAGGGAGAGGGAGGAGAGAGACAGGAGAGGGAAGAGGAGAGGCAGAGGGAGAGCAGACGGAGAAACGCAGAGGGAAGAGGCAAAGGAAAGAGCCGAGCAGAGGCAGAGCGAGAGGCACAGAGCAGAGAGAGAGGAGAGGGAGAGGGAGAGGGAGAGCAGAGGAGGCTGAGAAAAGAGGGAGAGGGCAGAGGGAGAGGGCAGAGCATGCAGGAAGCAGAGGCCAAGCAGAGGAGAGGAGAGGTAGAGCGAGAGAGCAGAGAGCGGAGAGGCAGAGGAGAGCAAGAAGAGGGGAAGGCAGAGGGAGAGGCAGACAGGAGACCAGCAGGAAGAGAAAGAAAGAGACAGGCAGCAGGGAGAAAGAAAGAAAAAGGACAACAGGGCAGGAGGGTAAAGAAATGACAAAAGAGACTGGTCCAGAGGAACGAGAAAGAGTTAAAAGGCTCTAAAAATCTAATTAATTCATTTTGTTAAAATTGTTGTTCTGCCACCAACTTAATAAGTTTTCCTATGTGGCAAAATACATTACCTCTGCAGTGAAATGCTTTATCAATATTTTTGACTCTAGAAAGGCGCAGATTCGAGCAAGCTCTAGGGCATCAACTTGCACGAGTTAATCTGATCAACACATAAAGTGAATCCGTACGCAATGTAAGGGACTCAGAAATTCCGCACCGCGACAAAGAGCTTACCAACTCTCCTCTTCTCGCCAACTGCTCCTCCAATTAACATCAACTCACAGGGGCCGAGCAAATCTCTGACGTCACCGCCCCGCGATATTGACAAAACAAAGCCCACGTTGAAACACAGTGATTCGATCTATTAACCGACCCCAACCGAGCAATTTTATCGCGAGATAAACACTTGCAAACGGGTCTCTCTCAAAATGATAACAAGGATAAATTAACAAATCATTTAGTAAGAGAAGGAATCGTGGGTGAGTTATCAATACACTGTAACTGTCTCCACATTAATTACCCGCACAGAATTTTACCATTCCTTCAACTGATTATAAGATCTACCATGAATTCCGCAGTGCCGGAAATAAGCAGACCAGCGCACGTGGGCACACTTGTGCCCGGAAATTACATCAACGATTGTTCTGTATAGTCAATTGACCGATGCCGTACGTGCGGACGTCTGAAAAAGCTTCAAGAAGCTTTGAAAGGTATTCTAATTACAACCATCAAACAGTAAGTTAAAGATTCTTCGCTTGAAAGAAAATTAGACATGCCATATCCAAAAGATCTTTACTCATTGTGTGCTTATATATCCCCAAGCACCCCGTACAGCGTACCATTATCGCCTACGATAGCGTATTGAGGCCCTAAAAGCACGAATTCTCAAAATTAGATAACTCAAATATTATCATATCCCAATTATATTACTACCAATCAGCTATTCTAATGTCATGCAGTCGAATGCGTCAATCCTCACACATAGCATAAGTATCCCACCTGTTAACATACCGAGCGTGTAATACACCTTTCACTTTTAACTCATTTTAACCACACCTTAATTAAAATTAACGCCCGTTAATATCATTAAAACACAAATTAAACTTATTTCTATAACCCAAGCCTCCACACCTTAATTCACCACGTCTACGTGTCTGATACCGTCACAGCTTTAGCTAACTCTCTCCCTCTCCCTGTCTCTCTCTCCCTCTCCCTGTCTCTCTCCCTGTCTCTCTCTCCCTCTCCCTGTCTCTCTCTCCCTCTCCCTCTCCCTGTCTCTCTCCCTGTCTCTCTCTCCCTCTCCCGGTCTCTCGCTCCCTCTTTCACTTTCGACAACTTGATAAGAGCAAAGCAAACTATTTGTCATTTTGCATATTGAAGCGTTTGGAGAAACGAAAATATGACGGAGACCACCTTATCTTATCAACATCGAGAATGATGTTTCGTTGTTCGAATGTTAGCGTCTCAGATTCAGAAAGAGCGAATGCTTCGCTTGGCGGTACTGCTTAACATTCCGTGCAGATGAAACAGTGCGAATTCTCGTCGTTGCGAAGTTTGCAGCCTCGTCACTAGGTCCAACTGTTGGCTTATGATAATGAATTCGGGGCCAGCCAGACGAGGCAGAGAAATGTCAGCATAAATGGCGTGCTTTTAACATTTTCTGTTTCTGCTTGGGGAGTATGGCGGCGATGTCGGGTTGCAATTCTACTGTCAGATGAAAGGTAAAATGAGTGTTATTCGTACCTCCGGTTCGAAACTAGTGGAAGAAAAATTAACGTTACTCAGACGGTGATTTATTATGTTTTGACAAGGAGCGCAATAGAGTCGGAAAAAGTGAAGAGCAGTAGAATTGTCATCAGTTGTCGCTTTGTTCCTGATTTTAAGAAATTCATAGTTGAGAAAATTTCGATTTTGGAATAGAAGTATTGTTCTATTCAAATTATTGTTCTAATTGACTACTACTGTATAAATTATTTAAACAACAAGAAATGTATGTTTACATTTCTTAAATATGATTTCAAGAGTGTTGTTATTCAGGCATTGTTAAATGGAGTACCGCAGAAAAGGATAAGAGTTCCAGAAAAAGATAGGTACCTTCTTCATTTTCATTACTTTATTTTTCTTTTTTGTATATCATTTTAATTTTCCTAATAAGGGTTATTAACTAGTACATTTTTGTCGTTTCTTATTTAGTTAGTGGAAAGCCGTTTCAAAATATGTGCGAGTAGGGAAAGGGAGTTTAGTCATTTGATGTCTCCTTTACAGCAGAAGAGTGTGAAGTTGAGTATATTTCGCAATATCCGAAATAATTGAATGAATGTAAAATGTACAGAATTCCTTTATAACAAACCTACGACATTATTGCAGGTAAATAATTCACTAATATCTACACAACAGTGAACACGATTCCTTTCTTTAACTTAACTCCCTTCATCTGACAACCACGAAATCAGCGACCATCGTCAACGCTCCATATCACGTGTACGATGAAATAATGTGCTAATAGATTTTGTAAATGTTTTTATTTATTAAACTTCGGTGAATATGCTTATTTGATGTTTTTGTTTCCTTCGTAAATAAAATAATTTGCTCTTTTGTGACACTGAAATTAATGATTGTAGATATTTTCTACCAAATGGATGATAAAGAAACAAAATAATTTTTTGCAGTTCATTTATTATGAAAATCCATCATCCACATCACATGGCTTGTTTGTTTCAGACGATGGGCGGCTGCGGCCCTGGTGGCGACACTAGCGCTCGCGGCGGTGGAGAGCGCCGCGGCCCAAGACGTCGTGCCCCTGGACGAGTCGACGCAGCGGCCGTCGTGGCAAAATCGCGGCAACGACTATCAGTCTAGAGGCAACGACTATCAGTCTAGAGGCAACGACTACCAGTCTAGAGGCAACGACTACTCGCCTCGGAACGACTACCCTTCTCCGTCGCTGCAGTCGTGGGAAAACAACCTCGTCCTCAGCGAAGCGTAAGTGTCTATGTTCGCCGCTGAGGCCTATAAATTGCCCCATATTATTTTTATTATTATTATTATTATTATTATTATTATTATTATTATTATTATTATTATTGTTGTTGTTGTTGTTGTTGTTATTGTTATTATTGTTATTTGTTATTATTATTTCTACTTTGTTGCTTCCACATATTTTAACATCCGCAGGCGCATAGGGTGATTGGAAAATTAATAATCAGTCATATCTGTTCATAGGGACCTACCTATTATAAATGTAGTATTAGAAAATTGACATTCCATGGAACGAAAGATAATTGTTTAATTACAACACGAATCTCAATAGGTCATTGCAACGCTCGTTTATATTATTTGCATTAGTGGATCGTTTCTTTTCCATGTTAAAATCATAACACCACAGCATACAAGTACTAATAACAAACTTCCAAATTAGCTTTCGTACACATTCTTACTTTTCATAGTTTGATTTAAAACGACTCGTTCAAACCGGGCTCCAAATTACTAACTCTTTTTTTCCCTAAAGTTCATAATTTTTTGCCATGATGTCGCTCAGCTTGATTGACCGATGTTAACGATATTCGCTCACATGCTCCCACACCCTCACCTTATCTTCCCATCGTCCTTTATTAACACCCAATGTGTGTTTTCAATTTTTACTTACTCGCCTTTACTTCATAAGGCGAGAAAGTATTGCAAAAGAAAGTATCCTCAAATTCTATTTCGCAAGCATGGCAGGGCCCTAAGTATTTTCAGTGGCAACTCGTTAATTATTTTTCCTTTCCTCATTTGTGGAGTTGGGAAGTGATTTCTTCTTGTGAAGTGACGATGTCCGTATGCAGATTCCGTTCCCCGCCGCGTTCATTTTCTTTTTATGCCTGTCTTTGGAATGTGCCTTTTCTCTGCAATAATTCATGAACGATTTACCAAACGGTTCCTCTACCTGGAATTGTGGGTAACTGGGGGCGGATTTCGGTGACCTAAAACATTGCCAAAAATGGTCAATAAACTTCTAAAAAGTCCTAAAATCAAAGAAAAATTACGTAAAAAATTGGGTCAAAACCACTATAGATGAACAACTCAAGCTGTTGGATATGTTACTGATGTAATCAAGGCTTCTTCCTTTTGTTCAAATGAACTCAGCGTGGATTGGAGTGTTCTTTAAAATAAAATCTGTCTTTATTTATCGCGAAATCGGCCGGACGGACAATGGCGCCGATGAGCGTCACGGAAACCTTAGATTACTTAGTAATCACAACGTACAACATTACAAAGTATAAGCGAAGAAATTGAATAGGCTCAGGAATTCTGCGGTGAACATTTGTTTCACCTTGCAAAAAAATGGATCATTTCGTTTTGTCATGACATAAAATGAATTTCTATACTAGACGGAATTGTTCTAAAGTGAAAAGAAGAAAAAAATCTTTAAAATCCGCCCCTTAGCGGATACCGCCCCTTACCTTTCCTGGATAAATTTCAACATGCGCTATAATTGGTGGGGGCAGAGGGACTCTTGCCCGACCAATGTAGAAGGGTTAGCAGTCAGTGTAAAAAATAATCCAAATACTATACAGTAATCATTGCCTATAATATTATGTAAGTTTTACTGGAGCATGTAGTCATAAACTCTTATGGAGATATCGGTGACATATTGTAGTCAACAGGAGATGCCAAGTTGCTAAGTGAAATTGAGACATATTCTTCATTGTCCAGCTGTCAAAACCTTAAGGATAGTGATTTATTAACTTTATACACATTGGTTCACATGAGATCTATGACAAAGGTGCCAAAAAGAAAGAAACACAAATCTCTTTGAATGCGCTTGAGAGGTAAAGAATATTACTTTGTGCAAAATGGTTTCTTAATAAAACTGCTGCGAGAGAGAACTCCACAACACAAAAATAATTACTTTAGAAATTCATCATAATTAATAAGATAAAACAATTCTTTACATCTTGTCCTCTCCCATAAAAGTCGTAACAGAAAAACACATTCTTGAAGCTTGCACAACAAACAATTTTCAATTGCAAAGTCTCTGTGAGGCATGCTTTGAATAAAAAAAATCTTTACTCCATATTCTATTAATAAAAAATTTCTCTTTTGAAAAAATAAGTTATATACTTACATAGTCACAATAAATAGCAACTTTACTTTTCCTGGAACGTGCTCTTGGAATTTCGGAATTGTCTTGAAATAATGTTAAGCCTCAAGTTTTTGTTGCTGAATAATATATCCAGTAGGAATTGTTACATCCAAAACAGCCATTCCGATCTTTCTGATTCAATTTAAAATTTATGCCAAATATAAATAACATAGTTTTATCATGATCACAAAATGGTCACCACAAGAAATAATATTTAAATTTAAGAATATTTAAAATGGGTTCAAAAAATTTTAGAAGGGTATTTAACCCAAAGCTTGAATAGCCAGTTCCTTTCAGATGAGAATTTTTGTGAGCTATTTCAGTATAAAATATTTAATATCACAAAATATAAATGTTTAATACTTGCAACTTTTGTAATGTTACATGAGAGTGATTTTCCCATAAAGTTTAGCTTCTTGTCTGGAGATTTAAATGCCTCTTGATAGAGGCTCCTTTTGAAAATCGGCTATGGTACATTAAATACTGCACTGACATATGGAGAATGGCATAATCCCCGGCACCTCTTCCTTGTACGCTTAGACTGTACCCCATGCTTCAGGAATCTGTACCAAGAAATAATGATAAGCATCCCTAAATCAATCAAATAATTCTTTAATCAAAGTTGGTAATTGGTTTACAAACCTCTATTCTCTTGCAACTGAAGCCAGTTTTTAGATTATACATGCAAGGGGCTTTGTTTGATTTTTAAGGGCAGTTGCGCTCAATAGTCACAGTAAGATAGAGAACTTCTCGCAAACCTGATGCAGAGTGATAATATATAAAAGAGCTTTCATAAGGTACAGCAAGTATCTTGAGTAGATGCCGCAGAACCACCATCTGTTTAATCTTTTGAGGTTAACACATTTACAATTGGATCAAATGAATAACTCTTGTCGTGCAACATATGTCAGCAATGGCATAGGCTGTAGTCTCTATAATTAGGAGGCATATATCTGTAAGGCAATCTTGGTAATAGGAAAGGTTTTTGGTTTTCATTTTTAAGGGGGTCTGGCACTTTCTCTTTGCCCAATACATATAACCACCTGTAAAAACGATTATAGAAGGGGAATTAATTTAAGTAAAGTTATGTATGTACGACTGTTTGGGAAAAAAATATATAATATGTAGAAATTGCGCTTGTGCTTGAACTTCCGGAGCGAATTAGCAGTGGAGTTACGGAGTGCTAGAGGGTTGGTGCAGAATGGACGCGATTTCGCAGGGCGGGATGATGACTTGACTAGCATAGAAGGCATTAGAGCTCAATATTTGCCCGTGTCTCGAAGAGAAATAAGGTTGCTCGCGATGGGATCTTCGGCGATGCACAAATTGGGATGCAAGTTGTGTATACTCTCTGGTGTAGAGACCAATGAATGTAGGCTGCGTCGTTGCTGTGAGGGCGCCAGGAAGCAGCTTGAGCGCCAAGCCCTGAAGAAAAGAAAAATGGACAAGAAAGTGAGGAGATCAGGAGGGGTAAGGGATACAGGAGATTTCATTAAAGAAGAACGAACAGAGAGAACTGTGTTTTTTAAGTGAGGAAAGTCGGGGAGAAAGACTATAGATACTTTTAATGTTTGCTTATCCACTGATGGTGTGTGAGGTGACGGTCTTCGTTAAACAGTTTTCGTAAATTGGTATACTAAGGAGCATGGACGTCAGGTTGCGCAAAGGATATTATTTCGATATTTGTGCAGAAGTGTATGGCTCATCTAGAGTGCCAGAGCAGCGAGAAATCATATTCGCTATTGTGTATGCGATCCAGCGGGAGCAAACAGCGGCACGTTACTTCGTTCATAAATGACCTGTCAGCAGAGTCGCTGATGTCGCTGCGGTTAGGGTTCAAAACATACTGTAGCCTAACAGCACGCTTGCAATTACTGAAAAAAAATGTAGTGTTGTAAGTGGATAAACTAAGAACACGAAAGAGTGAGTATTAGATGAAGATCTTGATGGAGGGAGTGGAAATTTATGAGAGATATCAGGTAATAGCTGGATATTATAGGGAAAAGAATGCATACTGTGTAAGGCAGATTGGGATACTTATAACAAGATTGTAATTTTTCCCATTCATAAAAACTAGCTTCTTGAAATATTCGAGCACAATAGGCAGTTAACCAAACACTTGATGCTGACTGATTCCTCGAATGAAATGCAAAGAAATACATTAAAAAAAAATATTATACTTCTAAAATTAAATAATAATAAAATATATATCACACATAAAATTAATTCACTAACCAATCACTTCGAAACAAGCTAAAGAGAACCATCAGGTTTGAAGAAAAGACAATTGCCGCTGATATCCATATTCATATGATGAAATGCCCATTTTCTCACAGAGTAGCATTGCGTTGATTTAAGTATGCAGCAGTACATAGTGGTGCTACAAAACTGATGCCAAAACTGAACATTGTTTGTTCAGCACAATCCATTGGGAGATTAAGCATTGAAGTTGCATTTACAGGCATTGTGGAAATATAGTCCCACAACATCACCCAACAATTGAAACAAATGCTTTGTTTGAACCATATACATAATAACGATCTTGATAGTATGGAATTAATAGGTGTTTCTGTCACATTAACATGGAGATATTGGAAAACATAAGCTCTATTACTCAAGTCCAACAAAATGGACTGGTGTCTGTGCTGGGGAAGACCATCAGCCTATAAGAAAGTAATGTAATACTTATTTGCTTGCTCATCATGTTTACACTCACAATAGGGTCATCCTGTGAGTAAATGCCACAACTTTTTTAATATACTATTCAACAATTCAACATACCTCTACATGCAATCTTCGTGTGGACTACGTCTTACCTATCAATGTTGAAGCTAGTACTGTAACATCAATATCACCAAGTTCTCGTAGGAACAATAGGAATATGAACATTGCAGCATCTTGTGCAGGGATGTAAATAAAGAACTGATGTTCTCTAATGATGTTCTTGGATTGTAGGATCTAACCTGTTAATATTTATGATGGAAAAAGAATAAGATATCAAAGGACAAGTTTGACAAGTTATTTGTGTGTATTAAAATATTACTTACAATTCCATTCATTTCAACATGAACAAACTTATAATCTTTTGAGCCAGCCAACGCCACTGTAGCTTCTATTGCAGATGTCATGTAATTAAATACAGACACTCTTATGCCAATTTGTTCCCTTGTCGGCATATTGAAGGCATTTCCACATTAATGAAGAAAGGAAGAACACGAACGTACTGGAATTTAATTAACACATTATTCTGAGTCTTTAACTACAATGGCATTTCTACTTTCTGGGATAAATTCTTACTTCTAAAGGCTTGGAAATCATTCCAAATCCAAATGTGGACTCATACTGAATGCTGAACCATCCAATGAGCTGGTCGCTCTGGTACTTCTTCAGTAAAAATGAAACGGCCATGAGGCAATATTATATATCTTCCAAAGCCAAACATTTTCATACTGTCGTTGTATGCGATTGAATCGAAATTTACGGAATGCTGCCAGTTCTTCTGCTTTCCCAAATCACCTGTTAACAGCGATAATAACATGTACAATTTTAATATCCAGACAAAACACTACCAATATTACACAGAAGTATTGCATTAATATTAAAATCTTACAATTAGCTTCATCAGTTCCATCTTCACAATCTAATTGACCATCACATTTCTTTTTTATAGAATAAAACGGCGAACATTTAAACATTCCATGAACCTTGTGTTGCATTGCAGAAACTTGGTCTTTAGGAACTACAGCATCACTGAATACAACTAATCCCACATACCTTAAAAGAAATTTAAATGTAAACAATGTTAAAAGAAATATGTAACCAAGTTACAATCATGCAAGAGTATAAAAAAGGAGAGATTTTCAGGCTTCTGAAATAACACACTCAACAAGTTTTTTAAGAATGTTTCACTTACTCAAATGTTCTGTTTGCATCAATGCCATATGTAGATGAAGGGAAATATACCAACTCATCAGGATCACCTTCATGAGATGACCAAACATGAACAAAGGTACCATTTGTTTGTCATCAAACTTTGACATTTTTAGAAAGCACCTACAACATACATTTACATTTAGATAGGAAGATAATAAGTAAAACACCGAAAATATAATAAATCAAACTTGAGTAACTAACTTTTGCATAAGTCAATTCATGGCCGCTTGCATAGTAGAAAATGCTCTGTCAATTCCAGAAAGACCCACATAAGCACCAGGTCACCAATAAATGGCTACTTCCACTTTTTCCCCTGTCCTGGCTTGCGATTGTTGATGTAAACAGTAAACTACAAAGCATAAAAAATAAACATTAAAAAAAAATTACAAATTAAAAAAAAATTAAAACATGAGTTAATTCAATAACAAAAAGTCACTTGTATATGGTACACACAATATCTACTTACGTTGTTCCTTGAAATACCATTAACTGGGAAAGTAAACTATCAGCAACAATGTCACCATATCGTCCAACATGATACACAACAACTGAAGCAACAGGGGCCATTTCTGCACTGAGAGTTACAGCAAATGTTCTTACAGACTCTGCATTACTTGCTGACCAGTTAGAAGAATGATGCCTTTTAGACATAACTACAAAGTTGAACATTTCTAAGTAAAAGTTACTTTGAACATGAAATATTACGTATTCTCCAACCTGAAAAGAAAGAAAGAAAGAAAAATAAATTAGTAATATTTTTACAGATTTGATTTATTTTTTCAAGTATTGACATGTGAAGTTTTACTAACTTTGGCATCACGAGTAGATTGTGGAACTTTGATTTTGGTGATTTGCAGGAGAATAGTGTGATAAAAGAAGGAGATCAGAAGTAGCACGGACTCCATCATATCCTTGAAATATGCTGTTATCCGATCTCAGTAATTTCATTTAATTGAGCTTTTGACCGTCTATTCTCTGTAAGGCCTTGAGAACATTACAAAAATAAACATGAGTAAAACTGATATTTATATACATATATATCCTTAATATAAATTCCTGTATATAAAAATTCTGTAAAACCATTAACTGAATGTATCTTTAATAGATAGATATTGTACCTAATTCAGTATCCAAATCCACCTTCAATTCCCAGACACCTTCCTTATCCCCATACATTCTTAATTTTTGGTTTCAAGAAGATCTGCGACCTCCAGATTGCATTGTCACTGATGATTGCACTTCCATTCGGCCAAGTTCCAAACGTTCTCGTGTAAGAGGAGAGCCATCATGGTAGGAAACGGCCAACTAAAATTATTTATAAATGATAACTTCATATATTTCCTTAAATTTTGACCCTTTGAATACACTGAAAACTTGTGAAAACTAAATTTTATAGGAGCTTCTGCATATCTTGCCTTTTTGAAATTTTCTTCTGAACTTCTAGAATGAATAAACAGACTATTGAATTTATTTGATGTTAATAACTTATCACAAATTGTAGTTTTGGCATAAATAATCAAATTAATTTGACTTATCTTGTTAGGATTTATGATTATACGAATTTTACATTTTCTTGAAGCATCTTTCCAAAACTCACCAACCAAAATGAATTTTAATTTATTTGATCACACACAAATGCAAGGCTATAATAAGATGAATTCAGTAGAACTCTTTTATATTTTAGTAAAAAAGTTGACTTATCAGCTTATTCTTAGGGCCAAAGAGACAATAATCATGTTTTTTGGTGGTAATTAAATGTGTTTTATAAGCACACTGTCAATGCCAAAAAATGTGTGGGCATAACTAACATAAACATCTCTCATTAATGTCTATATCAGATTACAAACATTGAATTACGACATACATAAAAGGTACATACATAACATGTTGAATGCATAGCAGGCTTGAAAACTTGTGGTGATCCTCCAAAAGGAAACTTTAATAGATGAATTATAAATTCGTGCTATGGAATATCCTTCTATAATTTCGTCCATAAACCTTTCACCAACTGTGGCTGTAAATTATGACCTCCATTCCATCTAATGATGATACATACTGTTGTAATTCTGTAATCGGATATCTAAATCTGTATGTTCCTTGAAACTGCAACAGACATTTTTCAATGATAAGAAATATTAAGAATTCTTAAGAAATGCTAAGTAAATGACTAGATGATGAACTTGATGACTATATAGGAGAAAACCAAATAAAATTTTATGTTATCTCCCAAATAATATTATTAATACTTATTCCAAAATGTATTTCAACATTGCTAGTGCAAAAAGCTAACTTATTTGCAACTCCAAATTTTCATATGTGGCACTCTGAGATGATTTTTCATTGCTTCTATAATATTCCTCCTCCTCTTTCTGAAATACTGAAAACCATGATGATATTCTTCATTCTGTAACAATAAAATATTGCCTCATAGGACTACCTTCTTCAATTTAAATTTTGTTTGCTCAATTGGATGTTGAGAACAACTTCTGTAAGATATGTTGAAATATAATATTTACGAAAAGTTTATCCAGTAAACTTACCAAATTGAAGTATTTTTCAACAGGTTGTCGTCTTTCAACTCTATTGTATCTGTTGGTCTACTGGCCTAATAGTGGCTTTGAGAGTGAGATTTCCACGAACAGGAGCACCCTTGTATAATTTGCCATCACAGTGCCATAAATGTACTCATCAGTTGTGAAGAAGAATGCAGCATAGTCACATTTACCTGTTGAATTATCAAAACATCATTAAAGATCACGACATATCTCCAAACAAGAAGGCAAATTTTCTGAAGACTGTAAATGTAGGTAATTCAAACATAATAGTAATGATTATTAACAAAGAAAATCTACTTGTTGATTATTCTGAAGAACAACCATATTGCAGCAGATATTCTTGAAACACTAATATAAAGTTAAATGCTAACTATTTAGAATATATTTGGGACACCATTTAGAAAAAAATCACTATAGAGATTTTTGAAAGCTTTTTGGGAAATTAACAAACATGAAATTAAATTACGGCAGTTGAAATTAATTTATGAATTTGATTTTATAAAGAACATACAAGTACATTTTAAAGTACATGATGTATTATGTACATAAGTAAGTACTTTATAAATTGTACTTTACGTACTTTAATGAAGTACCTGATTTTATAAGAAACACCCAAGGTGAGCCACTATTTCCATGTAATTTTGTGCTATTCATTATTTTTTCAACTGTGATAGTATTATAATTTTAATATGTACTGTATATTACAGTTCACCTGAAGATGGGTTTAACAATTAAAATTCAAAATGTTGTGTGGAGTAAAAATAAAAACGCTTCTTTAAAATCTTCATTTTTACAACAATAGTGATCTGATTATCCGCATATGATGTGACGCAAAGATTAATGAATACTGAGTATTGTTTATTTAACTACTATATATAAAACAAAGTTCTCAAATATATTAATGTTTCTACAATTCTATATTTTAGCCCATAGATCCCCCTAATTTTCATACATTTTTAAGTCTATTGAAAGATTGTAATAGTATTTAAAATATACAGTATTAAATTAATTAACAAAAACAATTGTACCATCAGTAAACTCTGGCCTGTGGGATTAAACTTGAAACCTCCAGCACATTTCTGAGAACTAAAAGCATTGCTTTATTGAAAGCACTGGTGTGAAAACTGGGAAGACGAGAGAGAACACCCAGCTTTACATGGAAAGGAATGAATGGACAGAAAACCATAGTGGAACGGAACAACAGAAGAACAGAACAGGGCAGGAAAGAACAGGAGAGGGGGAGGGGGGGGGAGGGGGGAGAGGAAGAGGGCAAGGCAATGCAGGAAGAGTGGGTGGAGCAGAGAAGGATGAAGATGACAGTGATGAGAATAAGAGCACTTCTAACTTACACAATTAATGACATTCATTGCTTATTCTAAGAGACTGGATTAATAGATTCTTGGGCAAAGTCTGCTTACTTAGATACTGTCCAATACATTACAATTCAGTCAAACTTGCTTAATGTGAAAGTGTGTCATAAAAAAACAACTGTCCAATGTCAAATAAGTCATGGTCTTGGCAAATGTAAATTCTACATAATTACAGTGAAACTTCTTTTATACATTTCTCAGCTTATATGTGTTTCACATTTGAAACTTTTTTTGGAGAGTCCCAGATAAATTCCTATAATTCCCATGATAAATTATTTCAGTTATGCGATAACTTCATTAATTTGATGTCCTCGAATTGATGTGAAAACAAAGGGTATGTTATTTTATAATATCAAAACAATTGACAAGTATATAGTACCACACTTACTTCAAATCTTGTTTGATAATATTCTTCAACAAAGAATGTAGTTTCTTTCTCTCTGACCTTGTGCTATAACTCGAATAATCCATTGGCCAAACACAGGTTGGTCAGACATGTGTATTCTAAGCTTACTGTTCCTAAGTTGGACTGTAAAATACAATAAAAATTAGAACCAATGAAGAATATTTGCCAAGAAAATCAATTTAAATCACCTATTTCCTTACCTGGCGGGAAAGCATCTTCGCATTATAATCCCCCTGGGATCACCATATATACATCAACTGCATCATTAAAAGCACGTAGTTCAGTGTTGATAGGTATTGCTCGAAATCTCACTGCAAAAAGAATACATAACTGAAATAAATATCATTCTGACTGGTTATTAAACTACAAATTTTATCTTTAATTCAAAAAGTCAAGAGGTAAATATTGACCAGTGTGATTGTCTAATTTATAATTAAAAGTTTTATTCAAGTATCCTTTGTTATTTGACATTCAAAGTTCAAATTTTGCCAGAATTGACTGATTGATTGACAGTATCCTACTTGCAAACAACAACCCTTCTCACTTTATTCATAAGTATCTCACATGATGCTTAGCGAGTATAAATAATAAAACAACAAAACCACTGTCAGTTTGGCAATAAATTTGTTAAGCAATACTTCTACCATCAATGGTCAAACAAATACCTTTAATGTGGCCCCTGAAATAAATAATTTCCTCAGAGAGTTTTTTAGTTTGAAATTTGACATAAAATTTAGAAATAAATTGCCCTTAAACAGAATCTAATTCAGAATGTTAAGAATAAAATCTTCTTTAATCTATAAAGCAATTGCTGTAATTGCCATGAGAGCATTGTCTCTTATATGCAGGACAGACAAAGCATTCACTATAAAACAAAGAATAAAAGAGCATATGAATAACATTAAGGAAACTGCAACAACAATTAAACTCAATTCTTGACATTGCCTGATTTTTCTCAGTCTTTTAATTTTGGGAGCTTTACGTTTAGAAAATGAAACCAGGAAATATTAAAGATTAATCTCCGAGCTTTACAAAAGACACAATACTATTAATACCGTGTTGGAAAATAAAATTATTCACAAACCATTTATGGCAATGTTCTGACTATAATAAAATTATTCTAAAATATTTTTTATTTTTATAGTTTGTTAATATGCCTATTTTCTTTATTCATATCTTTTTTTTTTAAATTTTATCTTTTCCTTTCAATCTATTTTTCTTATTCATGTATATTTCCTTCCCCCTTCCACCTCCATTCATTCCCTTCCTTCCTCTTTGAAACTAAAAGTCTACATTTTCTACTATTCCATATTGCCTCATTCAACACTTGCCTCTTGCTTTGATGCAAAGGTGCTTACTCCCAATCCAATTTGGATGCATATTCTAGATTTTTTCCAAATTTTGTTATTCTGACAAATCTTTATTTCTTTAAAATGTAGGTCCTCTCCATCTGTCATATATTTTGCAGTAGTTTTTATCTGTCTTTTAGTTCTTACCATTAGTTTGTACATTTCACCTCTGATTTTTAATCACTTGTGTCCACCACTTTTTTACCAAAAATTTGTAATCCAATTCCAGACTAGATTTAATTTTTTTTACACTTAAACATGCATAACATTGTGTATGTGAAATTTTGTGTTTCATGTGTTCATTGAAAAATAAAAACACACTTCTGGCAAAATCTGAACATTGATTGCTAAAAATAAGAGTCAACATTTTAATCTTTCATACCTGTTTGTCCTTGCATATAAAGGGCTTGTCAGTCTGTACCAAAAAATTGTCATAGACCGTTGTGAGAAAGTAATGTATGTTTCATTAACAAATGCAATCCCTCCAAGCAATCCATCGTAAGTTCCTTCAACACGCAATTTTGTAATTTCCAGGTACACTAGTTGGAGGAATCTGAAAAAACAGGGAAGTGAATTAAAAATTAATTTACACTTAAATTGCATTTCTATAAAAATTATACAAAGATTTTTCAGCATGTTTTAAATTCTAGTCAATACCCTCATTATCAGCGTTTCTGGAGTTCCTTCTTCACCTCCTATTATCAGCACTCATCTCCACACCGTTCCTTTGTATGGAAGCCCGTACAGTGAGAGGATGAATTGTCTGAAGAAAGACACTGCCACACGATACACCTGACCAGGACGAACCATGCGACTGGGCTACTATGAAGTAGTGTCCTACAATCAAAGAAGACATTTGTATATTTAAAAGTAAATTATGAAGGAATGTCATAAACAATGTAATAATTATGCTTGTAATAAATCACGATGAATGCTTCGGACTATTTTATTTGTTTTTTATTTATTTAACATCAGAAGAGTTAAATCTGTGAATAAAATGGGGGAGAAATGCAATTACACATTTTCTTAAACTTAATGGGGTCTTTACACATTTTTCTATAGGGGGAATCAGCAATTTAATGCTGATTCCATTTTTATACTCCAGGGTTGTCAGCCTAAGGGTAGGATGAAATGATGATGGTGACGATGAATGATGAAATGAACACACACGCGCACACCCACACCCCACACCCACACGCCACACCCAACCACGCCCACACCCACACCCACACGCCACACGGCGCACCGCCCACACCGCGCACGCCCACACCGCGCACGCCCACACGCGCACGCACGCCCACCCCGCACAGCGCCCCACACGCGCACGCCCACACCGCACCCACACACACGCGCACCGCCCACACCCGCACGCCCACACCGCACGCCCAACACACGCGCACGCCCACACAGGCCCCACACCCCCAACCCCCCCACAACCACACGCCAAACCCACCCCAAACCCCAACGCAAAAACAGCACACCCACACGCAATGCACACCCCACCGCACACGCACACCCACACGCACACCACACGCACCACGCACACCCACACGCACACCCAAACACGCCACAACCCACACGCACACCCACGCACACCACACGCACACCCACACGCAGCACCCACACCCACACGCCACACACGCGCCACACCCAACAACACACCGCACACGCACTACCACACGCACACACCACACGCACACGCACTTATTATTCACTATATATATATATATATATATATATATATATATATAATATATATATATATATATATAAAAGTTCAAGTTGGGAGAAGGCGTTCGCATTCATT